AATAATGCTCTGTACACCAAAAAGTAAGACTTCAATAGTGATATTTCCTAAAGACGCAAAGCTAAGGAAGCATCATCAGAAGCTGTTCGGTGTTATTCAGCAGGAAGAGCTGGGATTATTCCTTGAAGAACAGTACAAATGGGAACTGGATAGTTCAAAATTACATGGCTGTGTGCCTCAGAAATGAGCAAAAAGTTCACCTCTGTCTGGAAGCTCACTGGGGGAAAATGACAATGGGGGGAAACTCAGGGTCTCAGAGTCATGTGCAAGGTGACTGTGAACATTTAACATGATATAGCCACGGAAAAAATACATATCATCTAATTTGACACATTGGAGAAAACATTTCTAGCAGAGATGATGAAATTTTAGCATATTAAGGCATGGGAAACCTTGTTTGGAAGACTGTGAACATTTCCAGTCATTCTCTGAAGGCTTTGTGCAAACTGGGTCAGGTCCAGAGAAGGAAATGGGTATGATCAAAGTAATGGAAAGCCTACCTAATGTGAAGTGATTAGAGAACTCAAATTATATGACTTTAAACACAGGCTGGATAAATGCTGACGTTAAAGCGCATTTTTGGAACATGAGTGAATGGGGGTGAGCTGTGCATGGATAAAGATAAGCTGGAAATTCAGAGAATGTTCTCAAACATCAAAGGACTGAACTTGGAGAATTAATTCTTTAGAAGACAGCAAGCAACAAGAGATGTCCAACTTTTCTTAAAAAACAGCAACAATTTCCTCCTGTGAAGCCATTTCCTCATTTGGAGCCATGGCTCCTGCCTTGGGTTGCTAGCCCTGAAGAAATCAGCACTGCTTTTGTGGGCATTGGGCAGGGCTCACTGGGAGATAGGGTCATCATGATGGGCTAGTGAATCTGGATGTTGAGATGTTTTTGACTGGCAAAACCTCACAGACTCCTGTGCCTCTGTCCTCAGTTCCTCTTGGAAAGCAGTCTCAGTGTGGATTGGTTGGTGATCCCTCAGGGAAGTGTGAGGGCTAAGGGCAAGCATTTCCACTGTGCTAACATATGTTTTCATCAGTCTGCTTGGATTTTTGACTCCTTGTTCAAAAGCTCCTGTATCTGTTCCCACCGAAGAGATGCCAAGTGTATGTTGGTAACAATCTCTGTGTCAGAGAGATGTTGTTTGGCCATGAAGCGCAGGACTTGAAGGAATGGGGAATTATTTTAGTTTTACTTTATGAGAATTAATGTGAAGTTTCATCATCTGCTTTCCTGTTGGCTCCTTTTTTCTGGTTCCCCCTTGCTTCAGTTGAGCAGACCAGTGCTTTTAGTTCAACTCTGACCACAACATCCCTTCCTCTGGCATTTCCCAAATAGCCTGGATGGTGTTGGTGCTGAGTGGGGTTGCCATGGGATATAGATTTTGCCAGAGACAATGGGTAAACAGGGTGGAAAGACACTGAGGTGCATTCACCTTTCTCCTGAGTAGTCCAGCACATGGGAAAGGGTGAAGATGTCCCTGTGGCCATGCTACACACGTGGCCAGAATGTATATCCTAGGCATGTTCCTGTTGATGGACCTGCAGATAGCAGGGCACAGGTCTTCTGTTGATGGAGAGCTTGCTGTTGCTTGTGCCACCTTCTGTTTGCTTGAGAGGCATAGACACACTGAAGGAACTGAGGATTGGTCAAAATGCCCACCCTTTAGGAAAGAGTGGCAGACAGCTCCCTTTGCTGGGGTACAGCTGTAAGCTGGAGGAAGCAGCTGGGGCTGCCTGGCAGTTTTAAGGGTGGGCAAATTGTGCCCCACACCTGATGGTGAGAGATGATTAAAGACCTGTCCTAGCATAGTGCTTGATGTCAGAGCTACAGCCCAGACAGAATCTGGGGCTGAGCTGTTTCCAGTTCATGCATCACTGGAGCAGCTTTGCAGCAAATAGACGTGAGGCTGGGTTAGCTGGTGGGTGATTTTACTGCACAATTGTGGCAAAACTGGAATGGGTTCTTCTTGTATGTGGGCATGTGCTGACCTTAGCAGCCAATTCCTCCGCAGTATATGAAGGAAGAAGTCCAAGTCCAAGACCAAAATGTATTGGGCTTTATAACACCCAGTTGATCTATTTGTGACTTAGCTGTTGTCAACAAGATCTCCAGGTACATGTACTGCTTATGTCCAGTGTGAGTGCAATACCTGCAGCTCCCCCAAAGTGGTAGGCTTTGCTGCAGCCCAGGACTGGGAGGAGGATGTGCCTCTTTACTGGAATTCACAGATGGCAGATTGTGTTGTGCATTCAGGGTAAGGAGGCAAGATTGCTAAAATCCTGCCCAACACCTGGGGTGCTTGTGGATAGTGATAGTGAGACTGATATTGCTTAATTAGGAATTTTCTCCTGCCAATCTACCTACACCACAGAGTGCTGGAGTCTGTGGGAAGAACCTGACCAGAGGAAGCAAGATGGGAACCCCTGTTACTATGGGGGCAGGCATGTCTTCACACCTCCATCTCTCTCGCCTTCCTTCTCCAAGGAATACAGTCACCAGCCTGCAGAAACCCTGCTCCCTCCTTGCATGACACTGTGGAGTCAGCTATGCTCCCCTTCTTACACTGACTCATCTCTGTGATCAAATAGAAGTCATCTCTGAGAAGACAGTCTGCAAGAAAGAACTTTGTTCTTCCTTATTAATTAGCACCTGAGATCTCCTGCTGCCTGCAAAGCTGTGGGACAGGCCGTCAGTTCCTAGTGCTATTGCTGAGTGAAGCAGATTGGGGAGGGAGATGCAGCAGGGGGGTGTGCGCTGCAGAGTGTTGAGGCCATGTGAGTTTGAGATCTGGGCAACATGCAGAATGTATTTTGGGCAGGAGGGTATAGATGCTTATGTTGGGAACAGACATGTAAATAGGAGTGTTTCTTCAGGAACCACTTGTCTGCTTCACTGCTCAGTCTGATTTTAAAGAAAATACCCCCCAGCTCCATCTGCTCTGGTATGTGTGTCTGCTACACCAGAGGGGAATTGCTGTCAGTGAATGGTTAATGCCAGTGTCCTGTGGCAGGGGCAGGGATGAAGGCAAGCACTCAGCCTGCCAGCATTTATACCTCCTGGCGTCAGCATTGGCAATGCTTATGGAGGACTGGGGAGGGCACAGAAATAGTTTCCATTCTCCTCTCTGCTGTGGGAACGAGTCTCCTGGGTAACAAATGCTCCTTGTTCTGCACAGAGCTCCACAGATGAAACTCGCCATCTCTTTCCTCACTGTTGCTCCCTGACTGTTCCAGCTGAAGGGGCTGGAGATGTCTGCTTGAGCCTGCCTTAATTAACACTGACAGTACAATGGGACTGGCCATACAGGGGTCCTGTGGCTGCACGTTAATGGGAGCACAGTAAATGGTCTCATTTACAGCAGCTTGGTTGGAGCAGAGCCTGCCAGGACTGGCTTTCTGCTTGCTGTAATGGCCAGGCATGGAGGTAGGTCCCTTACTCTTGCATTCTCCTGGGGGCTTGTCCCTACCTCTTGAACAGGATCAGCTGGTGGAGTGGGTCCCCAGCAAGCCAGGAAAGGCAGGCACAAAGTGACACAAAGGGAGCACGAAGTGCTGCTGATAGGACTGATACACTGACTTCTTGGGAAGGACCTGGTCATGGATCCTGACCTCTGGGACTGGTGAAGGGATCATTCACTGTGGTTTGGAGGTGAGTAACAGAGCTGTGTCTGTGATGCTGGCTCCAGTGCATTGCAAACAGTCTGCACAGCGTACTGCCCAAGGTTCTCTCTCTTTCCCTCTTTGTGCTGGGGGGAGTCCTGGACTCCTGCCTCTGAAGCCCTTGGTAGGAACCACCCCCCAGCCCCATGGTTTTCTGACAGAAATCAGATTTAAATGTTACTTGGAAAGACATTTTAAAAGGTTGTAATGTTCTTGGATTAAGATAATTGGCAGCCACTTCCAGTAGTAAGTCTAACACTTTTCTGTCATAGCTTTTTATGTCATAGCTTTTTAAATTTGACCTCTCCAGAGGCAGAATCTTCTGTGAAGTATTGTATTGTCTGTGTTGTATTTGTGTTACTTGTTTGTCACTTTGGGTACATCATGGCATAAAGTAAAAAGTACTCAGCCATGTTGCAGTTCTTAATTTCTTAGAATTTTGTATCCATGTAACTGTTTTACCTCTTCTCTGCCTTGCTTTGATCTGCTCACTTCCCACAGAACCTCAGTTTAGGAGGTTGCGGCTCACAAGTTTTGCTTTTTCCAGTGTGGATGCTCCAATTTCTGGGCTGTGCTTGCCTCTACACAGGGCTGTAGGCATGGGGCTGGATGAGAAAGGGCAATTCTCCATGATGGATGATGGATCCATCCATTATGGAGAAACTGCATGATGGATGCTGCTCCAGTGCTAGGAATATCTGCCCTGGCACAGCACAAACCAGAGCACAGCTGAGTTTCTGGGGTGTGTAGTTGCACCCCAGCAGGTAGAAAAGCACAGCTACTCTCCTTTGCACAGCTCTACTGTGTCCTGTCAGGAACTGCACTACTCTGCCTATGGAGCAAGTTCCATCACCCCTTCTCACCAGCTGTGTCTGGAAAGGCAGATATGGAAAAATCCTTCAAGATAGCAAGATAGCCTGAGCTTTGCAGGTGGAGACCCCCTGTTTCAGGTAGATCTGCTGTGGGTTGTGAGATGCTGGGATCTTACCCAGGTCATGGGCAGTACTTTAATCACAAACTGCAGCTAAGAGTTGGTGAGATCTTGATTTGAGGTCCCCTGTGAGAGCAGGGACTGCAGACATCCTGCCCCTGCCACCTGGGTTCAGCACTGTGGGAAGTGGTGGTGGTTGCATCTTGCTCTGGAGGTGGCTGCATTTCAGGGATGCTGTACAGATACTGTTGATGAAGCTGTCTAGGGCATGGCACTAGAGAAATATAAAGAAGCTTCAGGAAACTTCTTGCAGTCTTCCCATCCTCCTTCTCCTATATATTGCTTTGCAGACTGCCATTTTATCTCCAAGGGTTCTAGCTGCCATTATCAACAGTAGGAACACTCCAGTCCTTTTTGCTTTCCTTTGCAAAGACACGGTGAAGAGATCAGGCAGCCTGCAAGCACAGAACATCCGAAATCCAGTCTCATCACAAAATAGGATGCTGCAGCTCTATTTTATGGCACAGGCTTTGATCTTTTTATTTCTCTTAATGCTGCCTACCTGATTTCCCTGTTTCTGTAAGAATCAATCCTCCATCATCCCCTCCTTTTCTGCTCCCTCCCATCCCCTGCCTTGTCTAAGGTTCCACAGGGACTGATTGTGAGCTGAAGTGGCAGTGCTGTGGGCATGCTTGCTCCTTCACACGCAGCAACGTCACAGCAGCAGCAGCAGCATCGGAGATGTGATTGCGCAGACCCTCTGCATTGCCAAGGATGCAGCTGTGAAGAAAAAAAAAATCAGAAAAAAAAAATTGACTCTGTGTTTCCCACAGCATCCTGGTGAGAGAACACGGAGTCTTCTGGAATCTGAGCGCCCAGGACTGCCGGAGCTGGGTGTGTTCGCTGACAGGGAGCGGGGGACGAAGGATCTGTACAAAGGTGAGATGGACGAATTACGGGGGTGGGTGTCAGCTGTGCTGCTGGTTTTCAGGCCGCTCGGTGGCCGGTTTGTTTTTGCGGGGGATGCCAGCTAGCTGGTGAAGCTTAAGGATTTTAGGGTTGCTTTGTCTCCTCAGAGGCTGCATTGCTTTGGAGCTTGCTGTGGCTGTCATGGATGTGAGTGAGCAAGGAGGCTGTGGCTGCTGTGCAGAATGTGTGTTTGTCCATTGTAGCTGTGAAATAGCAGTTGTCATGTCCGGGGCTGGCTGTGCTGAGGCGAGTCGTGCTTTGCCCTGGCAGTGCCTCTGCACAGCTCTCCATTGTGCCTGCCATGACAGCCAAGCCCGCACTGATTGTTGTGGTCCCGCCAGCTACCATGCTCTCTGTGCATCCCTGGCGGTGATGCTGCTGTGCAGCTCAAAAGCTGTTTTGATGGACAGTGCTTCCATGAAAAGACAGAGACAAAGGGCTCAGACAGAGGAAAGGTTGCTGTCACTGTGCCTTTTGCCTTATTTTTGGGCGTTTTTTTATCCCTTCTTTTTTCCTTCCCCTAAATACTGGTAAATTATTTGTTCAAAAGGCATTAGGGTAAATATCCTGGCATGTAAAATGCTGTCTTTTTGCTAAGTGATACACAGACTCTGGCAGGCTGGAGTCCTTTGTGTTGCCAGGGTGTGTCTGTGTTGGCTGTGTAAATGGATGCACTCTCCCTGCTTCTTTTCACAGATCAGATGAGAAAGGTTATCTAGGAATGGAGGAATTTCTGCTTTTAATTACTGAAATGAGGGATCCGGGCTGGGTACCAGTTACTGGAGCTTAATTACATGGTCTTGTTATAGCCAAATCCCTCTTTTCCCTCCCTGCCTTCCTTCTTTTTCCTCCCTCCCCCACCCTCTGCACGATCCTTCCATTAAATTGCCTCTGCAAATAGGAGAAGGGTTTGAACAAAGAGAAGGATGTATGTGTGATAGGGATATAGATGCTGGAGGGGCAATGTTCAGCATGACAGCGAGAACAATAAAGCAAAAGTATAAAAGAATGAGATTTTGGTATATGTGTTAAAATGACGTGACTGTAGGGGAATGTGCAAATGGGAATGTCATAACAGGAGATAATAGAACAGCAGATTCAGTCTTTCGGAGTTACTGAAAGTGCTGAGCATGTGGGGTTGCAATTGCAGGATTTTGGGTGAATCTGAAGTAAATAGGAGTCACAGAGTAACATATCATACAAGGTGAGGATTGATGGGTGTCATAAAGGTGTACTAGAGTACAAGGGAAGTAGAGATCTGTATTTTTATCTCCACACACCTGCAGCCTTTTATACCAATGTTGCTAAAGAATGAGCTTGGCAGGTCTTACCTATTTACAGAAATTTTTTCCCATTTGCCAGTGACTCAAGAAAAATTCAGACAAAGCTTTTTAGGCCTATAAAGAGCAACAGGATGACAGGAAAAATGTAGATAAAATGGTAGATGTTTAGCAGAGCTGCAGAGGAACTGTGAGGAGAGTAGGCAGATGAGAGGCATTGCAGAGCTGGGGGAGCAGGAGGTTTGGGTCAGAGACCAGTGGGAGAGCACACAGAGGGGAAATTCAGGGTTGTCATTGTCAGGGAATGCAAATGTGTTGTTTCTCTTGTCATTCTCCAGCCTCTCACTGTGTTCCGCGAGACGCTTAGTGCTGTGTGCAGCCCTGCAGGGTTTGTGGGGGTGGGGGTGATCCTCAGCACAGCCTTTTCTGCAGTAGTTCTCTGGAGGAACCATTTTGATACTGCAGGTTCTCATTTGGTTGATTCCTCTCTTCCCTATGGAGTGACAAGGTTCCACAGCCTTTATACCCAGTGATGAAGGCAAACCCAGAGTTTCAGTGCAGGGTGCCAGGTGAGGAGGAGAGAGCTTCCAGCAAAATCTCAAAGTGGCATGTTGCCGTCTTGCATATCGATGACACTGTCCTGGAAGCAACATAAGGCTTCCTGAACTGCAGCTTCTTCTCACATCTGTCCTGCTCTTGGACCTGGGAAAACCTCTCTGTGTCTCCCAGAATCCGTCCCTTTCAGGCTGATGGGAGCAGGGAGTGGGATGTCTCCTGCAGATGTGCACCAGACTGGGTTTGTGGTGCTGCTGCAGAGCAGGTTCCTTTGGGAGATGGGTGGTGGTAACAACAGCATGACTGTGTGCAGCACATCATGGGCTGGAGGACAGGATGTGCAACAGAATGTACAGGACACTCATGCTTGTATCAGCATGTGGAAGAAAACTCATGTGTATAAGGCTTGTGTGTACAATGCTCACCTAAAGGAATAAAAAGAAGGGGATGCAGCCTCCTCTGTATGGGGTGGGAATGTCCCCAGGCTATACAGGCTGTGCCTGGCTAGTAGGTACCACTCTTACAAGAACATCTGTTAAGCAGTGAGATTGCACAGATAATCTCTGCATTGAGATGCTTGAAAGATGAGCAAGAGGTTCTGGTGACTGGAGCTGACTGAAATCATCCATGGGACTGTATCTTCCTCACTGCATTGATGCAGATGATGGAGATAAAGTGCAGCTGGATCTCTAGATAAGAGGGACCTGGACCTGCATTGCAGAAAGTGCAGGTGGCCGAAGAGAATATGCTGTGAATTCAGGAATGGCCTGCCCACAGCTCCATTACTGCCAGTCAGGTGTCTGAGGCTGTTTGAGCAAAGAACAAATTTTTAGCCCCAGACATCTAAATTTTCTTTCAGTCAGATGTTCCTGGTGAGTCAAAATCTCACTTTGGTATGGTTCCTGATACCCAGATAATACTCTGACTTTTGCAACCCCTTCTTGTGCTTTGACCTGTTTTTAATTTATTTCCCTGTCTTATTTTCTTTTCTGGTGTTTTCTGAAAGACTTATGTAATAGTAAGGGCAGGTTGATAAATCTGACATAGGTCACTTTCCCAACCTTTGCAGAACAGCTAAAGACTTTTACCTTTAATATTTGTCAGCCACATGGTTTCACCTTCTTCCTCTCTTTTCTAATGGGTATTTTTATCAATAGTGCAGTTGCCAGCTGCAATCAACCAGCTATTCCTTAATTGTTCTGGAATCAAGATTATAATATTCTTCTGATTTGCGTGCTTTCATATTTTTGAATTTGATTCAAGTCAAAAGCTCATTTCCTTCTCTGCACCTTCTTCCCCTTGTATTATCCAACCCCTTATTGCTGCAGTTTCAATATTTGTTTTGCCAAAACAGCACTGAAGATGCTGACTTTTTTACCACTAATATCCTTCTTGGTGTGGTTGATCAGGAGCCTTTCTCTTCTAATCTCCTCATCTTTTTTGGTGAGTCTAGATTTTTTTTTTTTTTTTTACTAAAATTCAAAGTATTTTCTGTAGTACTTCTCCAAGCTGTTTGTTCTTGTTGGTATTATAACTGTTTGCTCTGATGTGCCAGAGATCTGCTCATTAAAAAGGTTTCATTACAGCTCTGTTTGCTTTTTACCATTCTGTTTAATATAAACTGGGTCAGCTTGAGATGTTCATTCCAAAGCAATTTCGGTATCATGGGCGCTGGGTGAAAACTCTGATAGTTGAACACAATAAAAGAAAATCCAAAGTAAGTGATGTGAAGATCTCTGCTGGTAGTTGAGAGGTGGAGGATTGGAGGGGAAGTACCTTCCTGTCAGCTGTGGAATCAAGGCCCATACTGGACAAGATTTTGTCCTCATACTTGTGGGAACCATTGGAATGTGACTGGTAGTGGCAAACCTTGCTTGTCTCCTACCTCTGCTGCTTCATGGCCAGTGTTCTGATGTGGATAAAGTGCTTCTGGCCAGACCATAAGCCCAAAAGAGCCAGAAGCCCACCAACACATTCCAACTGTGCGAGAGGCTGCAGAATAAGGCTTGAAGAAGCTGAGAGAGCTTGGCTGGCAGGGGATGAAATCCATAGCAGTGATCAATGACAGCTGTATTGCTAATGAGCCTTAGTGGGCATTTGCCATTATTGTTATTGTCTGCCAAGCAGGTTCCCTGCATGCCCTCACATCTCAAAGTTGGTTACTCTCCTATAAGAAAGAAATGGGCCATCAAAATACCCCTGGTCTCTGATTCTGCTTCAGTTTTCTCTCTTGGTGAAAATAATTTTAATATTGATTTTCTGAAAAAAGTGGGTCAAAGCCAGGACATATATGTTAAGATGAACACAAAAGCAGGCTGGCCCACAAGTTCTTTGTCTCCTCGCCATGGCTGTGTTGTAGCCTCAGGATGATGTAGGCAGTATTTTTTTTCTACTCCTGAGACACATGCAAGTGGGCAAGGCTGAGGGTTGCTAAATTTACAGGTAGTGGGATTAAAAAACCCAACCAAAACCCACAGTGTGTGTTAACTGCTGTAAATGGGATGGAGGGGGAAAGCAGAGCTGTAATGTTGGTGAGTGGCCGTAATGTGGCTGATGGCAACTTCTTGCTCAGGCTCAAGTTCTAGGTTTGGACTCTTGGAAGAGAGACGTGTGTTGGTTTTTGGACAGTGCTGAGGCTATTGGGCTGGTAGTACCTTTGAGTGATAAATAATCAATATTTGAGTCGTATTAGCAATGCCTTTGTACTGACCCTTGGCAAGTGATAGGAAAACTGGCCTTGCCACCAAACTGCCACTCTGTGCTCCAACACAAAATGCTCTCTGGAAGCAGAGAACAATTGTCACTGCCCTGTTATGCTTTTGGGGACAGTATCAGAGATATCTCACAGTTTATGAATGCTGGCAGTTCCTTTTTGGGAAGAAGGAAGTTTCTGCTTTGGGAGTTGTAGGGAAAAAAATATTCATTAGAGCCTGCATGGAAAACTGTGGCAAATAGCAGGTTTTCACCTGGTATTTTCCTCAGACCCTCTGTTACCTCAGACTAGGGTCCTTGCTACCTACCCAATTATACTAATCTCATCAGTTTTACTCCAGAACCAAACCTTATTTTTTACAAACTCACAGTAGCTGCCATTGCTTCTGGAAGAACATGCCCTAAATGCTTTCAGTGTGCTTG